GAGCTACTGCGGCAACATATACCATTAGCTCAATACTCAATATTAGACTTGGAAGAGCTTAGTTTATTTGGAATGTTACCAACAATGAGAATTTACATCAGGTGATTAATATTAACAAGTGTTCAATAATCCGCACGTGCATTTCGTGCCGTGGTACAATAAATACAATGAGTTTAAGGTGAAATATCATTCTACTTGGAAATCATCGACCCATCACATTTGACTGGAAAAATGGCATTTTTAGCAATAATATTTTAGCTCTATTTTTCATATTTTTTTAAAACGTTTAAATATTTACGAATGAAAAGTACAAAACCCGCTTATTTATTTGCTTGTTTTTTGTGTATGTGGTAGCTATTTTTACAATCTTTTTTTAATGTCGTTTTTTTTTTTTTTATTTATTTGTCAGGTTTTTGTTTTTGATGTTTTTGCGTTTTTTATGTTAGTAGTGAGGTGTTTGTATTTGTGCGCGCGTATGGGTAATATATATTAAGAATAATTTAATTTTTTACTTACCTTGTTTCATTTGTTGACTTCTTGTGGACTCGAACCCACATCGCTGTGATGAAAGACGAACGAACACATTAACCGGCTGAGCCATCGCACTTGGCTGAATGATGGCTAAGATTTAAAGTCTAAATCAAAAGAGAAAGCTATATTACCTTGTAGAGAACTAAGATCAAGATATTAGTTTAGTCATCTGACCAGCGAACGTGCATGTCACTGTGGCTCAGTCGATTGGAGAGCTAGTGTATCAGCTGGATTTTAAGTCGGAGGGTTCGATTCCCACCGCGAGAATATTTTTATTATATATTTAATAAAGGCTTTAACTATATAGACAAAATAACATCTGATCTCGTCTGTCACCGTGGCTCAGTGGTTAGAGTGGTAGGTCTTGATGTAAACCATAGTGGGTTCGAACGCCTGACGTGGAACCATTATTCATTTTGATGTTACCTTTACTCTGATGGTTGTAGGGTTATATAGATAAATTTGCTAAGATTCCTCGTCGTCTCGATAGCACAGTGGTTAAAGTGCTCGGTCGGCTAATATTCTAGATAAGACTCGAACCTCTGCCGAGGACGCTAGCAAACAATTTTGATAATTTCATTATAAAAGTTCACATATAAAATGGTTAATTTCTGCTGAATTTGCTGTGTCCGCTGTAGCCCTGAGGTTAGAGAGGCTAGTGGAGACCTAGCCGATCCTGGATCGAATCCCGCTGAAGCCGATGATGAAGAGTTCTCTATTTTGATCTTATAAATGATTTATAATCATTTAAAAGAGCTTAAATTTCCAGGTTTTCTAACGGGTCTCTATGGCCTAGATGGATGGATGGTGGACTTGGGCTAGAACTCTGTTTCGACGGCGAGGGTTCGAGCCCAGGTAAATCTCCAGAGGCTTTTAGCCACTGTCTCATGTTCTCTCTCTCATTCTAATATGAGAGACCTGAGTTCTCTAGAGGTAAGATGTCAGTTGACACGTTGGGCCTGCCGCAGGCAAGACACTACCAATAGATAGAACGAGGGGCAAAGCTGAAGAACGAGAGACAAGGAGGGGAGCCGAGGGGCAAACTGGTGCCCGGGTCCCTCCAAGATTCTAAAAGGAGAGAGGAAGATACTTACTATTTTACTACTATAGTAGGCTGTGACTTTGAACTTTAAATATTACTTACGAACACTGGTTTAAATCCCACCTATTTTGGCCGTGGTCGTAGAGTTGTTCATCCCTCCCTACATTTTTCTATCGTTCAAACGTCCCGGGTTCGATTCCCACTCAAACCCAACTTTCGGTTTTAAAGTATTTTTTACGTCCAAAGCAGATTCTAGTGGTTTTGAGTGCCCACTATGGAAAATCTTTCATATCTAGATTTCCCCGTGGGATTCGAACCCACCTAAATTTCTAGAGGATGTTAGTCCATACTATGGATGCCGTTATTACAACCGTGTTCTCCCGACGCTCTACCACTGAGCCATCCAGTCGAACACAAACTTGGTATTTTTATCCATTATAACTGTAACCTCAAGTTTTAAATAGTGTAAAATTAGGTTCTATACTTTCAACTTACAATCTATCAAAGGTTTCAAACCCACACCTCAATGTTGTCGGACCAACGCTCTACCACTGAGCCATCCAGCCAGACGACTAAGTGAATTATTTATCCAATATAACCGTAACCTCGTATCTTAATAGAAGAAAAATTCCAGTGGGCTATCAGTGGGTATTGAACTAGCATCCTTTCCTTTCAAAGGATTTTCCTACCACCGTACCGACTTGACCACCGCGGACGTTAGATATGTTTGAAAATTAAGTGTATATATCCTTTTAGATTCTATAAAAATCTGTAAGAGAATATCTGGGATCGAACCCTCGACCCTAACATTGTTGGCTTCCAAGTAAGCATCACTTAGACCGCACATCCACCATGATTACGAGAAGAGAAATGGTTTATCAGAGTCCCACTCCTGGACGCTTTTGTGAATTCATTTCAGATCATTATGCTTTATCTTCAATATATCTCATCCCGACCCTCTCTCCAAAGAGAATGGAATTTTTACTTTCGAGAGCCGACCCAATATTAATGTTGTATTGTGTTGGATGCCTTCCTAGGCCTCAAGTGGGTGTGGTTTAATAAAAAAAAGATCTTCAATAGATCACAAGAATTCAATTCTCACTCCGGGATTCGAACCCACGACCATAAAATAGACATGAGAGATCAACAGTTTAACCGACTGAGCTACCGCAAAAAGCACGTGCAAAGTGTTCACCAGTTGACCTAGCCCGAGTAGACTGTGATATCCAGTCTCTTAGAACAACCAGTCCGCATTTTCTTATATCTTCTTCTATAAAATCAATCCATATAATCTTCAAGTCGACAAGCAGTATTCAGTCAAGTGCGTTGGCTCAATCGATAAACGCGTTCGTCCGCCATCGTCGTCCAGCTATGCGAGTTCAAGACCAGAAGATAGTAAGTAAAATTGAAGGTAAGAGTATAATAATAACTATATTGTATTTGTGTTAAATTTCTCATAAACTATGCACACACCACTCTTCAAAATACACAATAAAACAATTGTACATGTCTAACCCTACATAAATAAAATACAAACTTATTTAACCAATGCGTTAAAGTTTTTGTATTATTCTGCGTTATAACTAATTAACTGTTGTCTGAAATGATTTGATTAAATGTAGTTACCTCCCTTAGTGTTTCGCTACCCTATCCGTCATTCAAAGACAAATTCATAGAATATTTCTGAGGGGTCCAGAGCGTTAATTATTGCTTGATTTATTGTGTTAGGAACCCTAAAGACAAGAAAAATTCAAGTGTAAACTAGGCAGATTAAAGAGTGTAAACTAGGCAGATTAAAGAGTGTAAACTAGGTAGATTAAAGAGAGTAAACTAGGTAGATTAAAGAGTGTAAACTAGGTAGATTAAAGAGTGTAAACTAGGTAGATTAAAGAGAGTAAACTAGGTAGATTAAAGAGAGTAAACTAGGTAGATTAAAGAGAGTAAACTAGGTAGATTAAAGAGAGTAAACTAGGTAGATTAAAGAGTGTAAACTAGGTAGATTAAAGGGTGTAAACTAGGTAGATTAAAGGGTGTAAACTAGGTAGATTAAAGGGTGTAAACTAGGTAGATTAAAGAGTGTAAACTAGGTAGATTAAACAGTGTAAACTAGGTAGATTAAAGAGAGTAAACTAGGTAGATTAAAGGGTGTAAACTAGGTAGATTAAAGGGAGTAAACTAGGTAGATTAAAGAGTGTAAACTAGGTAGATTAAAGGGTGTAAACTAGGTAGATTAAAGAGAGTAAACTAGGTAGATTAAAGAGAGTAAACTAGGTAGATTAAAGAGTGTAAACTAGGTAGATTAAAGAGTGTAAACTATGTAGATTAAAGAGTGTAAACTAGGTAGACTAAAGAATGTAAACTAGGTAGATTAAAGAGTGTAAACTAGGTAGATTAAAGAGTGTAAACTAGGTAGATTAAAGGGTGTAAACTAGGTAGATTAAAGGGAGTAAACTAGGTAGATTAAGGGGTGTAAACAAGGTAGATTAAGAGTGTAAACTAGCTGGCTTATGTGACTATAAGTTCCCAATTGGTCTAGGCTTTATGACAAAAGCAAGGACTACGCAAGGACTACACAAGGACTACACAAGGACTACGCAAGGGTTTTTTGGAGCATTAAACAAACAAAAATGTTGGATAACAAAATTTTATTGTCTCCAGGACAAAAATTCAAAGATCACAAAAAAACAGAAACCCAAAGTACAGAAAATGATTGTAGAAAATAACTAATAAACTCTAATTTTGTTTCATATAATTTCTGTGGGCTACTTCACTCATCTTACATCCTCTATATCAATGCCTTTATATCTTGAATCAGTAAAGTAACTCAAAGAAAATACATGAAACAAAATAGCTAGTGCTTAACAGTTAATCATTAAAATAATAACATTGATCACAAAAACAAAAATCAAAGATGCAGGCATCACCTGATGACAGTGTATGATTGGGTTTGTCAACTCAGGGATGATTTCGGAGAGTTCACATAGCTTTTAATAATCATTTAGTATGTATATCACATCATAGCTTAGGCAAAAAATTCAAAAAAAATATATGAACACCTCATGCAAATTGTGATTTGGTTTGTCAACTCAGCAATGATTTCAGAGAGTTCACATACCTATCAATAATCATTAAGTATGCATATCACAATGTAGTTAGGGTTGGCAAAAAATGCAAAAAGTTTAGAGGCAGATTTGGATACCCCTGATGACAATTTGTGATTGAGTTTTTAACTCAGCAATGTTTTTAGAGAGTTCACACAGCTAATCATTTGCAAAGCACCACATAAGAAGGGAAGGCAAAATTCCATTAACATCCAGAGCAAAATGTTGAAACCCCTGATGACACTTTGAGTTTTCAACTCAGCAATGCCTTTAGAGAGTTCACATAGCTAGTTTTTAGAGAGTTCACACAGCTAATCATCTGTATATCACAACAAAGGTAACGTAGGTAAATCTGGGAACTGCACAAAATTATTGGAAGCTTCCATTTCAGGGTGTTTATAAGTATGGTCTGAATCTGGGGATGTGTGTGAACGCTTCTCTTTAGGATAATCTGGCGCGCGGACCGAGTATTCTGGCGTAGACAAAGTTCGTTTGTATCGACGATGGTAACTGGTTGATTCTATCATCCCACTTTTATAAGCCTCGGTAAAAGTTTTAATTAACGGGGAACGAATTCCATTTCTACGATTTATCAAAACCTGATTTTGTGTTTTCACATGAGCAGACGGCTTGGCGGCCATTTTGTCGTGTTTGGAATCCATGCTATGTTTCACATAGAGTTTAGGTTTGGGTATGATGATTTTTGGAAGGGTAGCTTTACTTTTCCCGCTTGCTTGATTCTCTTCATTTTCATTGGAGGAAACACTTACATCTGAGTCGTCATGGTTACCAAGGGGCTTGCAGATGACCACTTTTGGATAAATATTGCAAATGGCTGACAAATCTTTTGGGGTTTCTAAGTTCGCTTTACACACATTTTCCTCAGAACAACTCTTCAAATCTGCATTTGTCTCTGGATTTTTAAAAGATTCACAAGACTTGATTTTCGTCTCTGCTCCAATTTCAAGACATGCTCCATTTTCAAGACAGACGCCATTTTCTGCGGGATTCACAGTCTCGCATACATCTTTGGTAAACTCATGACTCTGTGGAAATTTGATTTCCTTGTTAGTTCTTTCATCAGGAAGATTGGAATTTAAGTAGTCTTCACACTTAGCACCATTTGAATCACATTCTGGTAGAAGGCAGCCATTTTGGATGAGGGTTTGAGGACTATTTTCTTTAGCACCAGGCTTCGCAGAAAGTTGTGACAAATCTTGCATAGTATCACTACACTTCAAGGCACTGTACTCACAATTTTTATTCTGATTTGCTGGATCCAAATCATTTGAACCAATCAAATCACTTGTAACAGTTTGTGGAAGTTGAGAGGTAGATGGGTGAACGAGATTGCATGTCGTGACTTCTGGATAAGCACCATTGGACCCTTTAGGATGAATTTTGGCCACTTTCACCTCCTTGCGGAAAATTGTTCTTTTTGGAATGACGAAGTCCACTGAGGAATGTCCGTTCTGCTGAATGCAGGAAGTATTGGACTGGACGATCTCATTTTCATGATCGCTTTCCGATAATCTATTTCCACGCGCGAAATATTGATACTGGTCCATATTTTCTACAGATGAGCCTGTCCAACTAGACGAAAAACTTTCGGTTGCATCGAACTGATAACTCTGCGGTTCTAAAACAGGAACCAATCGTTTTCCTAGACATGGTTCTGAATAGGCTCTGGTACGTTTTGGAGCTACGTTCTTCAAAAGTGAAGACTTCTCGGAGATAGTGTCATCATCATCTTCAACTTCACAGCAATAACAATCGTACAGAGCAATACCAGTTAATAAAATCACCTGAAATAAGAGAATAGAGTTTTACTCAGGCTAATGAAGATGGGCAATGCCATGCAGTGTGCTATCAGGCCTACTCTCTTTTGATTTTGAATACAAAATGTGCACAGTCTGTAGCACATGTGGCCTCGGTTTATTGTCCTATCTGAATGACTAGACACTTATTTCATGAGTTGTTTCACCATTGGTTGCCCGAGTTGGAAAAATGTTGGACCAAATGTGTTTAATTTGTTGGGGAAGGCTCACTACTTATTGGGCAGCCTGGTCTTCCATGTCAGCCCTCAAACAGAAAAATACTGGTATAAGAAATTGAGGCTTACTATAACAATACAAGCACCGGCTGTGTAGGTCAAACCCCATTCAAATCCAATCAGATCTTGTATATAGCCACCCCATATTGGACCAATAAAATCTCTGTAATAGACAATAGATGATTATAATGATGATGATGATGATGATGATGATGAACCCTTTGAACACTGAGAGCAAATAGAATAAAAGTTAAACACCCAAGTTAAATTACTTGTATGATATTTAATGACTACAATGATGATGATGATGATGATGATGATGATGATGAGCATTAATTATATGAACTTACCCCAAAGCATACATAGCACTCCACAAACCAGCTACTAGTCCATGAGTACCTAGATTATCTGGATATCCACTTTCTCTGGAAAAATACAATTAAAAGAATCATCAACAACAATTTGCAGTCAGCAAAAAACCCTGATTTTGACAAATGAACCAATCAATCAAGCTGTGCCTGTGCTTTCGTGACAATGTTACAACCTAAAATTTCAAGACTATAACCCATAGTTAAGCTATCCCTTTATGACAACATAGGATCACCAAATAATATAACTTTTAGTGGAATTGCAGGAACCACACACGTCTAATTGAAAATTGTAATGGTGTAAAATGATGCTATCAGTGTCCACGATACACATAAATTTCTAGAAAATCTTTTTACAATCCCTTTAAGTGATCCTTTCTTACAACAAAGGATCACCCAGAACTGAGTGATGCCAAGTGGTTCCTATAGTAAATACTTACATAGCTATTTCCATGATGATATCGTAAGATGGTATAATGGCCATACTCATAGCAATTCCAAGTAATATCAATGATACAATAATCAGCCACAATTCACTAGAAGAGAATCAAAAAATACCATTATTACTGCCTGTGCCTGTGCTTTTGTAACATTACTTAACTGCAATGTTACAACCTAAAATTCCTAATTTGAAATGATTACAGAGCACTATCTAGTTATATTTCTTACTGTTCTCCAACTAGGCAAAATATAGCAGTGTGCAATGAGGGAAATTTTGCCAGAACAATGATATAAGCCCAGCCTTTGCAAGAGTCTGCAAGTTGAAGCCAGTTGTACTTACTTGTAAGAAGGATCAAAGCCAAATATAGGACTTGGAGCCAAGAGACAATGAGCTACTCCACACAACAGAAACCCTGGTATCATTAACAATCTGTTATCTGGCTGAAAATAACAAGAATAACAAGATGTTATTATAATCTGTTATCAGACAGGAGATTAACAAGATAACATCAATAACAACAAGAAACCATTAATAATAATATGTTATCTACTGGGGAGTAATAAGATAACATTAATCTGTTATCAGTCTTGGGAATAACAAGATAACAACAAACTGTTACCAGACTGGGGAGTAGTTATAAGATAACAACAATCTGTTATCGGGTTGGGGAATAACAAGATAACAATAATAACAGACTGGGGAATAACAAGATATTATTTACAAAACATAATTCATATATTTATACATAATAAATAAGCAACCCCCAATATTGCCCTGTATCCCTTATAAATAGATAAACCCTTACCAGTTTTTCAGCTATCCAGCCACAGATAGCACAACTAAAGGCATAGGATGCTGACAGTAATAAGAACACTGCTCCCACTATGGTTGGACTTAAATTATACTGGAAAATACAAGAACATAGAAGTTAATTTTAGATGGAATGCCGGAGAATTATATAATACTATTCTGAAACTCATTGAGCTCGTGAATATTGCATAAGACTAATCTTTTTCGATCTCCAACTGTCGAGGGATCTTTAATGTGCACAGTCTGTAGCACACGGAGCCTCAGTTTATTGTCTCATCTGAATGACTAGACACTTTTTCCATGTCAGTCCCTCCAACCTGCATCACTGACAAGATGGACCTTGGACCTCCAGATGAGCAATCTAACTCACTGAGCAATCACAGCTCCAAGAATAATAGAGAAAGACCTACCGTGGCTAAATGTGGTTCTAAAATAGGATCTAAAACTGACCAGACACCGGAACCACACACCACGGCTAGACAGGTGATTATAATAGACGGGTGACGTAGTAATAACAAACCATTTTTACGTCTTAATTTAGCCACCTGAGGTTTATCTGAAATACAAAATAACGATAACAATTTACAATCTTCAAATACAAAATAACAAATACAAATTTAACAATTTGAAATACACAATAACAAGTTCTATTTTTGAATTGGACAGACAAAATAACAAGTACAATTTGACACAAAAAATAACAAGTAAACACAACATAACAAACACAACTTTCCAACTAGCATACCTGAAAAACAAGTACAACTTTCCAATCAAAATAAAATAAAATAACAAATGGAATTTTCCAATCTGTTATTCTAAATAATGAATACAATATTTCAAAAATAACCAAACAAACGTATTCCGTAACAGCTTGGCAATAATCAAAAAATCTGAATCAATGCTTACCTTCAATGGAAGGAGTAAGGCAATAATTAAATATTAAACTGCAGAGAACTAAACCACCCAAAACAAAAAACGGCAAACTAAAACCACCATACTGAAAAAAAAGTTAAAATGGTCATTCCATTCAAAGAAACAAGGCTTGTTCATTTTTATGGAACACTTTGCAATTTCGACAACACTTGGGAAAAATCAATGCCAAGAGGTTTGATCAAGGATAAGCTGGTAGAAAGGTTCCTCATTATTCCAGTCAACCCAGCTGTAAATGGGTACAGATAATCTGGGAAAGATCAATACCAAGAGGTTTGATCAAGGATAAGCTGGTAGAAAGGTTCCTCATTATTCCAGTCAACCCAGCTGTAAATGGGTACAGATAATCCAAGAAAGATCAATACCAAGCAGTTTAGGCAAGAACCAACTGGTAGACAGGATCCTCATTATTCCAGCTGTAAATGGGTACAGATAATCTGGGAAAGATCAATACCAAGAGGTTTGACCAAGGACCAGCTGATAGAAAGAATCCTCGAGAACCCAAGTCAACATTAACAGTACAAATATAAATTGGGTATGAACACCAATGGATGTTAGTTGCCTCAGAGAACTGTTTCTGGTTAAGCTGTGAAGTCATCTAACCAGATTGATTACTTACATTAGATAAGACACCACCAACTAGTGGTCCAATAGTTAATCCTAAACCAACAAAAACTTCTGTAACTCCCTGAAAAAAAACCCCAAAAGACTTAACAATTAATGGCAGGAACCACAGACGTCTGATTGAAAATTAGAATGATGTAAATTGATGATATCAGTGTCCCTGATACACATAGAAAAAATTAAAAAGCTAGGACTATATAAAATATGTTAAAAACTTACGAAAACGGTAGTAAAATAACCACTAAATTCTTTAGAAGCTACTGTGAAAGCTGAGGTTTGTTCAGCAGTTACTCCTATAGACATAGCTACTTGTAATACAAAACACAATGATACAAAAATACTATTATCAGTTTCTATTGGTACATATTGAAGAGATCGAAATGAAATGAAATGAAATGAAATGAAATGAAACACACAGGACCTCGGTTTATTGTTCCATTCAAAAAACGGCAATGGGGAAACTTGATTGAATGAATGAATCAATGCTATTTTGACCCATGCTCGGACTCCAGAAGACTAAGTTAGCAAGGGTGTAACTAACTCGGTGAGCTTCAAAGATCAACAAATACAAACCCCATAAGAACTGTACATCCTCCAGCAATAAATATACCAGACAAATACATAAATTTAGACCCGATTTTTGTAACCTGAAAAAAATATATAATAAGCTATCTGTATCACTTTTCAGACTCAAAATTTGATATTAAATTCTCCTTCAATTCAACAGAAATGTACCGTGAGAGGTTACATTGTCGTCAGTCCTAAGATGTTACCAATCAAATGATGTCATGAAAAGGCTCCGATGTCCTAACCGACTCTGCTACAGCCAGTCCCTAGCATGTTATGATGTCATAAGAAGGTTCCAAAGCTCTAACGAACTTGCGTTACAGCTAGTCCTCATATACTTACATATTTGCCAAAGACTGGAAAGATGATAAACTGTCCCCCAGCGAATGAGGCCATTATCCATCCTTGAAGTTGTCCAGATATGTTCCTACTGCCAGCCTACAATCAAACACCAGTTCAAAATAATCTACCAGGCATACTTAACAATTGGAGCTTTACACCCTACACCCTTACCCACTGAGCTTTAGCAGCTATCAGCAAATGTTAAAGACCAACATGCTGAAAAGAATCCCAAAAGAATCAAAGGATGCTATTGAACGGAGATGTTGCAGAAAATACCAAATGACCTTGACCTACCTGTGGTGGAAGTAGAGGACTAATCAGTGAACAGCAGCACATAATAATAAACTCAGTAATACAAATACTGATCAGAAGTCCTTTCTGTTGCCGTGACAACTTCCAGAATGAAAAACTCTCTTCTGACAGCGTGGATACAGAGCTGTCACCATCTTCCTCTTCGTCGCCATGGCTACTAG